CACTAAAATAGTCCATTTTGTTTGCAAATTTCTTGAACTGCAAATTTCTCAAAATTGCGACATGATAGAACAATTTGGCAAGTGGGATCGTATTCAGCGTTTTTGTTCTTGTGCTTTTTTTTATTAAACAGTGTAATATTTTTAAGATAATTAGTGCTATTTAATGTTCATTATTCTTAAAATGTGTTTGAAGCTAGTATTTGTCTATTATTTGTTCTCCCTCAGAATATCCTGACAAAGGATATCCTAGGATTAATTTGAGATGTCCACAAAATTTTAATTATATTCATTTTGGATGTTAATCTCGAATTTCCAAAGGGCATTTTCAAAGAACATTTTATGCTATCTGGTACATATACTAATACAGGGTGTCATGTAAATAATACGCAGGCCAGTGTTCGTGAGCAGGTAGAGCGGATAAAACTAAATCGAAAAGTCCTTTACGTTTTGTAAGTTTCTCAATAATTAATGAGAAATTAATTAATAAGAAGACGTGAATCAGGATGTGTTCGTGCAATTCGACGAAAAGCTTTTGCTAATATTTTGCGTGTAGCAACCTGATACTCTGTATATATACATACACGTACGTACATACATATATGTATATCACTTTGTTATTTTGTTTTATATATAGGCGGTACTGGTTTTGTTGGAAAAGTCTTGATTGAGAAACTATTACGAAGTTGCTCCGATATTTCAACAATATATCTGCTAATACGTTCGAAAAGAGACAAATGTCCCAAAAACCGACTGGATGAAATGTTTGAGAAACCTGTAAGTATCTCGAAAACGACATCAAAACATGATATACATTTGTAAATAATCGTTATTCAAATATGTAATTTATAGCTTTTTGACCGAGTAAAAAAAGAAGTACCCAATTTCCGTAAAAAAATCGTACCGATTATAGGCAATCTCGTCTTAGAAGACTTTGGATTGTCAGAAAGTGACAATAACACTCTGATAAATCAGGTAATTAATTCCGATTACTCATTATTATATCGCCTACTAATACAATAAAAATGTATTGCATATCTAAAGAAGCACATATATTTTGCATATATCTAATTATAATTATCGATGTAATTAGAAATAAATTCTGTACCTTCTTCTACTTAAAGCATGTATATTTATTATAGGTATCCATAATTTTTCACTTAGCAGCAAACGTACGGTTCAATGAGAACATCAAAAGTGCTACGATAATAAATGTTAATGCTACCGCTACCATCTTAAAACTTGCAAAGCACATGCCAAATTTAAAAGTAATTCCTTTATTTAATATGTGTTTTAGTAATAATAATAGGAAAAAATTATTTAAGTTTTGCAATTTTCATTAATTCTAAGAAAGAAACATTAATTACGCTTAACGTTTACCTTGCAGTCGTTTATTCACGTGTCAACAGCTTATGCGAACTGTCATGTTGAACATATTGAAGAGCGATTCTACTCGTATCCCATTAATCACAAAGATCTTATTATGTTCACACGTTACTTAAACGAAAACGTAATTGAGGAAAAAATATCTAGGTAATCCTTTGATGCTCAATATAATAAAATAATTTATGGTATATTAATAAAGACAGATAAACTATTGTTTGACTAGAATCATTTCACGATGGCCGAATACATATACATTCACAAAAGCGATTGCGGAAGACCTTCTTAGAGACGAGAGCGGAGACTTGCCAGTAGGAATATTTCGACCTGCAATAGGTAACAGAACAATTATAAATTAGCAGATATTTATTAATTTGGCTTCCTCATAGAGGAAGCAATTTACAGGTTTCTACTTGCACACTTAAAAACTATAAGAAAGCACTGTGCAAGTTTCTACTTGCACACTTAAAAACTATGAGAAAGCAATGTACAAGTTTCCACTTGCACACTTAAAAACTGAGGAAGCAATGTGCAAGTTTCTACTTGCACACTTTTTTTTATGAATAGAGTATCATTAAAGATAGATTGGTGTTGTATTTGGCTTCATATCTCAAAATTTGCGGAAATTAGAGCAATCACGTAAATTTTTTTAACCTTTGTTGTGCACACCTCTTCAAAATTACGTATTGTGCACAGGGGGTCTATTAGACCCCAGTCACTTAATTGTTTATTACAGACGTACAATTCGTTATTTTGACTCAAACAAAATTGCTGGCTATTGTTCAAAGCTTCCAAATTAGATCTAATAGGTTTCATTAATATCTTGCAACATAAAAGAATTATAAATGATATGTTAACTAAAGAAACCGAAAAATGGACTTTTTTCACTAAAAAATGCATAAAAAATTTAATTTTTAATATTTGTACGTATTATACGTATTAGAAAAACTCGTTTGAAAAAACGTTGGGGTCTTTCGACCCTGTGTGCACAACAAAGGTTAAACAGAAATCGGTAACCTCTTTATTATTAGCAATTTTTATTAATTTTATTATATTCTTCAATTTTTTTACCCTTATTTTATATATAATTTTTTAAATTTTATTTAATCAGTTTTTGAATTATAGAAATTTCAGTAAACTTGGCTGTTTCTTTTTAACAGAAATTGGTAACTAATCAACCAAATCCAAAACTAATCTTAACGAATTATATATGAAATAGGGGTAGAAAAGACTGAAGAATATAATAGAATTAATAAAAATTGTTAATAGTAAAGGAGTTACCAATTTCTGTAAAAAAAAAAAAAAAAAAACAGCCAAGTTTACTGAAATTTCTAATAACTCAAGAACTAATTAATTAAATTTTAAAGAATATTATATATGAAATAGGGGTAGAAAAAACTGAAAAATATAATAGAATTAGAAATAGATCGATATCTCAAATATTGAGAACGCTATAGCGTAAAACACGCTTTTCTGAAAAATAAAAATCCCCTTAAAATCCATATCGATCGACGGATTTTAATACAATTGGAAGAGAACATACTTTCTATGATACTCTATTTGTGTGCAAAACTTCAACCCGGTATCTAAAAAATTGTAGAAGTAGATGCGTGTACAAAAAATCCGCACACACACACACACACACACACATTTCCGGACATTTTCTACTAATATGATTTCTCGACATTTTAGAACATTCTAAATCTATTTCCTTTAAAATTTCAAAAAAAAGTTTTTTTCACCATCACAATAAAGCTTTTTCTATGAGGAAGCAATAGCAGTTTTATTGCTAAAGAATTTACTAAATAACATTTATATTTAATAATTTTTAACTGCTTTACATAATTATGTGCTGTAAAATTCTACAATTGTAATATAATAATGAACAAGATGTGTGTGCGCGCGCGCGTTTAGCAAACAATAAGTTTGATTCATGTGAATCTACATAATAAGAAATAATTAAGATTTTTTTTTAGTTTTATCTAGCGCCAATGAACCTTTTGTCGGATGGATGGAGAATATGTTTGGGCCACTAGGCCTTATAGTACCTTCGCTACTTGGAATCACAAGATTTTATCATTATAATCCCGATTTCAGAGCAGATATAGTGCCCGTTGATTTTACAGTAAATGCATTAATCGCTAGCTCATGGGAAGTCTTTAATCAATTCAGGTATGATCAGGTATTTGACCAATATATTCATCTCCGTAGCTAATTTACAAGAAATTTTATTTCTACTATTTTGAACATTGTCATTAGATAATGGCATAACAATGGGTCAACCTCATAAATTGTTTAGATAATTTTTTAGACATGATTTTTAATAACTTATTATATATTAAAATTATTTCTTAATGCTTGTAACATAAATTAACATCATGGAGGTATAACAATTAAATATGAAAGTTAATAGACCAAAAAAGTAAAAGAATTAGTATTCAGTTGCTATTATCATTTAACTGTCTAGAATATCGTAAATATTCTATAATAAAACTATTCCAAAATACTGTAGTTTGTGGAGGGGAAGGATATTTTTAAAAAGCATAAAACACTCGGACGGATATGTGTATCCTAAATACGTTATAGTTACTTACAATTAGGTATCATCGTAATCACACACACACATACACACACACACACACACACACACACACACACACACACACACACACACACACACACACACACACTTACC